TTAATGCTTAGTTCATTACCAGTAGGAAAAAACAAGATGGAAATCCTATAGGCATATGTTTGATGCTGGTTTTGGCTCAAATTTGGTGCCCATATTTGAAACTTAGAATGCTAGTGACCAAAGGATACTATTACAGTACCAGTATTAACAATTATGTATTAGAACTCAGTTGAGAATTGGGTGTTTGGTGTCTTTTCTCCTGTAAGAACTCAAAAGATTAGGTTGTGAATTGTTGCATTAATAAGCTGTCTTTATGATTATAAAGTTATTTATCCTCAGGCTGAAGAATTCTGTGCTTATCTCTGCACTAGTTTTGGGTGAAGTCCAATGATGCCCAAGATGGGAAGTTAAACTTGCAGCTCAGAGTGAACATCCATTGATGTGAAAGGAAGACAATGGAAATGTGTCCTTGTGTGTCCACAACAGCCCTGGTCCTTAGGACTGTTGATCCAATTATTTTCACAAGGACTCATTTAAAAGGGGATGAAGTGGCAGGGGGGGAAAGAACATTCCTTAGCTTTTTGAGTCTGGAACTTCTGTCCTATGCTTTGCTCAGATTTTCCAGTGAGATCACTTCCTGAATGGGGTGTAATATGAATAAGTGTTCTGAGAAGCAGGTTCAAAAGCTGAGCACATGGAATTGGCCCAGCTTTGTTGTATCCCATCAGTGACAAAGCTAAATTTGGTTCAAGTTTTCTAAAAGCTCATAATTGTCAGACATGCAGCTTGAATAAGATGAGCTAAATTATATATATTGCATGCATGTTTTTGTGCCAAAGAATCTGTGAAATCAAATGTTTGATATAGGCATAGGTGTCCCGATTTGCATTCCATATACAGTTGACTGTTCATCCAGTGATGTAGCCTTCTCTGCCTCAGTTTTCTGCCACAACTTTGTGCCATCTGTACTCAATATACTGTTAAAAATATTACTTTTCTGCAGTTTATATGTGAAGCTACTATATTTTATACATTTCTCAGAACTGTTAAAGGTTTATTGTTATAATCCATATTTATGAATTTCAATAACACTTCAAGGTGGGGATGTACTGTTTTTCCTACTGAACTAATATAGAAAGTAAGACATAAATCTTGTTCAAGAGATAGTTATTTAAATCTATCTCTGAGTACAAAGTGGTGCTCTCACCACCGAGTACCTCTCCTGCTGACATTCCTTCTTGTGATCCATTTAGATGAAATAAAGAGGGGTGTGGAGATGGCAAAAAATCATGGAGTCTTGAGACAGCAGCACTCACTGCAGATGGCAAAATAAAGCTTCTTTTTGCAGTATCAGGAGAAATTATTTTAGACAATCAGTAGTACAGTAAACTACAATCTGTCTCTGTGCATGACACCAGGAAATAAAAATCTATTTTTCAGCTGAATGAAATATACGAGGTCCAAGCATCAAGATCTTAGCACTAGGACAAACTGGAAACTTTCCAGTGGAACATTTTTCTCTCAGCTAATGCCTGTTCACCAAAACCTAACACGTTGCATGAAAATGTCTATTCCAATGAAATTTTTGATGGAAATGTTCTTGGTTTGCTGCCAGCTCACCCGCTTTTCCCAGCTCTCAGCTCCCCGGCATCTCACATGGAACAGTGCCAGAAAGTCAAGTTTCTTCACGTTCCTGGCCTGTTTGGCAGACTGCCACGAGGGATGGGAGTCTGGGCTCTCGAAAGTGGACAAGAAACCTTATACATGCACATACAACTGTACACATACTCTCACAGGTCATTTAAATCCATGTCAGTTCATTCAAAGTAAAGGGGTTTTTTTACATAGAGGGTCTTTTAAATATGACCCTCCTATGGAAAATTTCTCATGTTGGAATTTTAATTCTAACTTGTGACTTAAAAAAAAAAAAAATTGGGGAATATGAAAAATTCTCTTTATAAGGTGAATACTGGTTCCTGTGCAACTGCACTATTGTCACTGAGGCTATCAGCAGCTCCATCTGCCTCCTCTCTTTCACTGCATAACAAGAGCTATATTTGTAACAGGTATGGTGCTTAGACACTTAACCTTAACAAAACAAGATAATATTTTTAGAGCCTTGTAAATATTTGTTTTAAAAATTCCTCCTAAGCCATTTTATATAAGGCAGGCAATCTTTTCTTGCTCACTAAGTGGACTGAGGGAATAGAGTTTCAATGTTTTTGCCTGAATGATAAACAGAAAAAAGGCACATATACCGAAATTCTGACTGAAAGGGCCTTGAAGCAGGAGCACTGTAATGTATTTTTCCATAGCCTCACTTCATGCACTGAGAGCTGCTCAGTTGCTTATTATATGTAAGTAAATAAATAAGTTTCAATCACACTGTGTGGGTAATTTCTGACTGCAGGGATGTATTCACATTTGGGACAAAAAGCAGCTGATTCAAGTAGCCACTAATGAATTCCTTTTCTGACTATTCTTAATACATTGGATTAGCATAACAAAGTCAGGCTCTTTAGGACATTAGTACTTACTGCAGCTTATTTTTCAGTTGAGAAGATGGGATTTATTGCAATGGATACAGTTCAAGATTTCACTGAAGAAAGGTTCCTGAGTAGAGTTTCACTTCTTGTGAATTTACATTGTCATCATCAAATCTGAGCCTCACTGACAGTCTGAAAAAAATGTATTGCTTTTGTAATAATAGGAAAATAGTAATTGTCCAGTATAGGATGCTAAAATCTCTACTAAACAGAGAAAATACTTATCTTTGTTAAAATAAGGGGAAAAGCATTGGTGTTTTGGTTTATTTTGATTTTTTGGGGGATAACACTGTGTAATAATGAAGGAGGCTACATTGGTGCTGTCTCTGACTCTTTGACAAAAGTGATCTGAAGTTGCTCCCCATGTCTTTGTTATCATGAAGTGACAAAATGGGAATGATGGAAATATCAGCAGAATGCACTTGTATCAATGATAGCATTATGTACCCAAACAGTTGTAAAATGCTTAAAGTGCACAGCTAGACTCACCAAGCACTGATCTGTGTCACTGAAGGATTTTATTATGGTGGGGATTAACTCTGGACGTTCTAAACGTGCATGGGTTTGCCCTCGTCATTGTAGTTACACTGAAAAAGGTTCCATGGGTTGCAAGCAGCAAAAGAAAGTGGGCAAAATATTTATTGGCAGAAAATTTAGTTCAATCATAAAACCCATTGTCTTCCTTGCTGAGGCTGCAGAGAATCCCAAGATCTCTTATTTGCATTTGCCTTGACATCAGTCTATCCATGAGCAAGAGAAAATGGGATGAGTTTGTGTGTGTGTACACATACACAGCAGGATTGAGCAATTCAAATTAATCCTCTGAAAGGAAAATAATACATACAATCACAGACTTTTAAATTGGTTTCCAATCAAATGTTCCTTGATAAAAATGATGCAATGTCAGTTATTAAAAGTTGCTTTATAATGTCCCTAAACTGAAGTCTCAGTTGCACTGTCTAATCTCCTAATCTTTTGAAAAGAAGAGCAGAAAGGCCTCTCTACAGAGCAATCCTGACTGCTTTATTTGACTCATTAGGGCGAGAGGAAGACAGGAGGGTTTTGCAACTCATATGCTGCAAATACAATTCAACACATGCAATGAAGTGACAACGGAATTCTTCATGTCAAAGAGTCAGTGCTGTGCTGTGGTATGTGAGCAAAGACATTTTATTACTCTTATCTAAGTAGTGTTCTCTAAGTGCATTTCTGGTGTTCTCTAAGATTATACTCTAATCTGACTGAGGGGAAAAAAGCTCAGCTCCCTGGAAAGCAGAACACTGGCACTGATTTTCCTCAGCAGCTACCTTGCATGAAGTGACGCTCAGCTCTTTACTGTAAGACTAAACTGATCCCCCCTCCACTGCTCCAGGCACTCACAGCTGCTCTCTGGTGGAAAAAGAAAATTCTGCTTTCCACACAGAAGCCCATCATCTAAGATTTTGAACTTTTGTCTATTTATCCAAACATAATGTAACTCATTTCTCTGATTGTTCTCTGGATGTGTTAAGAGCCTTCAATGAGTCTATGCTTGAAAATTTGTATCTGGATGTTAAGTCTTTGACCATTTCTACCCTATAATATTACAATATTGAAACAGGTAAATTCACAGAAAAAAAATTGCACTGACAGTATTTTGGGGTGCTGGCTTTGGCAGCAGCTAGGAGAGAGCAGGATAAGATTGTGCTGTGCAATGAGTGTTGTGCTGTATATTGTCAGAAAGCAGCTGATTTTCTTAATGCAAACAAAATGTTTGAAGTTAAAATCAGGGGGTTTCTGTTCCCATGTACCAACCCTCCTGACCATTTCTATCAGCTCTTCATGTTTTAGGGTCTCAGACTCACACCTTTATACCAAAGTACACATCCTATGCCTTAATACCATGGAGGGTAAGATAAGCAGGGTTTCCATGTGCTGAATTGGACTGAGCCCAATGGGCCTATATAAAAGGTAGATTCTCAAATATTTGGGGGTTCAGAAACATGGCTAGTGCTGCGTCTGGGGATAGAGGGTCAGCAGGGCAGAGCAGCTACAGAAATCAGAGTTAAGGATTTGGGCTTGGAGTTTGATAGGAGCCCATGTAAGTAAAGACACCTCTCTTCCATAGCCCATCATGAATACCTGTTAAATGCTTAGACTTGTTACTACTGATCTCTCTCCATTTGTTGTAGTAAACTGGACCTGTTTTCTTGATCTATCTCTCTGTAATCAGCTATCCTCATCCCCAAAAGCTTATTACAATGACTAAATTAAACTGTGTGCAGCAGTGTATTGTCCCATCAGATGGCACAGAGGAGTTCTACAGTCTCCTTGGAGTCACCCAAATCAACTATTAATAGAATCTTTTAATGTAAGAATTCCTTGGTGCTTCTGTTCTGTTTTTCTATGGTTGCAAGACATTCTGGACTTTTTATTTTCTCTCTGAAATTGTTGTGCTGTTTTCAGTACTTAAGAGACAGACTCCAAATGAAGCAGCCATTCCTAACGTATGCAGACAAAGGGAGTGGTTCCCTTAGCAACAGGAACCATGTGGAGGTTCTCAGAGAGCTCTCTTTTCCCCCTACTCGTGTTTTCTTTTAACTCAACATTTTGCACAGCATCTTGCATGGAGACTCTGACAGCTGGGCTGGAGGCAAGCAGCTCTTCCTCCTCTGACTAACCCGTGCTCGAGGGGCAATTGTTCTACACTCAACAGACAGCAAAAATGATAATCATGGGTAAGTGAACTGGCACACAATCAGAGTTCATGCTGAGGAGGGGGAAAGTTTACTGGCTGGCAACCAGAAGTGTCCAGCACTTCCCAGTAGGCATGAATGCTGGAAGCAGGGGCACTAGTGTGATGCTTGCTTGGCTTTCTGGTGGGATTGCATGTCTGCATTTAACATTTCAGGGGCTGGAAACATTAGTACAGCTGGGTTCTAGTGCTTAGCATGCTACTGACTTCCTTTGCAGCCCTGAACATCTCATCTCACCTCTCTGTTTTCCTTCCTCATCCATTAAAAGAGATTATATGCCATGAGGATCTCGGAAGGAGTGTAAAGTACTGTAGAAATGGATGATATTGCTTGTCAAAATTGTATTTGCTTTTGAAGTTGACAATAAGGTGTGCAGAACCTGATATAAAGTATTGATCTGTTATTGTGGATTTAACTGAATTAACTTTCCTGTAGATAGATCTAGCTGCTTTTCTTCCTGGTACAGAAGAAAAGATGTGTCCATAGCACCCAGGTATAAGAATTTGTGTATGCTGGAGTATAAGTAACAGAAATAGAGATGTTTATTTCCCTCAAAATAGCCATGGCATGGATTAAGCAGCAGCTCTGATTCAGTGAAGTCCAGCATACTATAAAATAATGAAATTTAAGCTTTGTATGTATTGAAGTTAACACTTGTTCTGCTGTCCCTAAAGTGTATTACTAGAGCTCTAGCCAATCTCAGTTGGAAAAGCCTAATGCATAAACTCCCTAAGTTTGTAGTCATTTTACCTAAAAAGAGACATCTGAATTACTCCAATGCTAAGCCAGTTCATTTTGTGGGGGTCTTGCATAAGGGATTAATTTGTCTCTGTTTTTCCTATTTTGATGTAGAAAGTTCCTCTGGTCACAATTTTTCATCACCTTTGAATTCAAATTCAGGCATCCAAGTTCCCATTCTGACAAATCGTGCAGCATGCCGATCATTTGGATGCAGGCTCCCTTTGATTCCATCCTCAGAGTCTCAGAGTGTCGCAGTGAGTGCATTCACCACTACAGGCAACTTAGTTCTTGTATTTGAGATGTGATTTGATTACTGCAGGCAAAAGCAGTCCCTGTAACTGTATGCGCAGAGCAGCTGCAGAAGTGTCACGCACCAGCTCCCTACAGTCCTGTCAGCAAGGACCTGGCATTGCTCTTCCTATTCCTGGCTCAGCACAAACCCACAGGTCCCCTGCTCTGTGCACCTACAGCACCCAGCTCCTCCTGGGGATCACGGGTGACACAAGTCACAGCACTCCTCTGTGCGTGGGGACTGACAGTTTGTCTCCCAGCTCCGATTTAAATGCAGAAAAATTGCCGTGTTTGCACCTTTATGAATAATATTAGGTTTTGTGTGTGAATAAAGAGGAAGGCAATAATGAGTCACTGAAATTAATTGTTTCCTTTTTCTGTCTGGGATTATATTTCCATCCTTTTATACCTTACTTCAAACAATATTACTGCTTGAATTAGTGATACTAGCTAAAGTACAGGATTAAAATACTGTATATTTAGTGTGAAGTGTTTGAGTTCATAATAATAACTTGGCTTGTACATTTTGCAGTATGTGAAGAAACTCCTGGGTTTAGGGTGTGGGGGTTTTTTAGCAAATACTTTAAATAATTTCATACTTATCTTCTTAATTACTTTCCCCATCCCCATTTGGTATCTAGTTCTGCAGTTTTTTCCTTGTTCAACATTTTCATGTAGAGTTTATTTTCAATTTTCATTCAGATGAACAAAAATGTCAGCTCCTTTTGACAGGCCTGTGGTTTGAGATTTCCTATGAATAAGCCACTAAGAGAACTTTTATATATATATAGCTATATATTTCCTAACTTTGTCCTGTTTTTAGCCATATTGTACTGTAGCTTTTATCCCAGCATTTGAAGTGTATTGCACACATAAAGGAAGCCTACCCAGAAATCTGAAGACAAGGAAATAACACCAAGGGATCACTTTATCCAGAAACTAAGTAAATAATAATAATTCTAATCATCTACACAAGTGTTATATATCTTAGAAAAAGAAGCAAAGATCTAATGTAAAACAGATTGATAACAACATCTATTTCAGTTTCTTGATGCTTTACATATAGGGCATCAATACTGACTAAGCTGAAACAGGAGAAAAAGTGGATGTCAGTCTTAAAGATTAAAGACATGTATGATGACTGACCTATAGGAAGAGGTATGAGAAGCTGATTTATGTGGCTGGCAGCCAAGGAGCTGGCAAAGTTTCATGGATTTAGAAAGAAGAATAATCTCACACAGATCAAATATCTGGATCTCACCATTTTTATATACTTTATGATTTTTCAACACCAAGTAGAAGGAAAGGCTTATAACATAATTCTTTGTTCAATCTGATTTACTCATTAAAATATCAGCAGGCTAACTCCTCTGAGATACCTCTGGATACAAAGCAGATCATATATTAGATTGTGTATGGTTTATGGCTTTTTATGTTGTAGTCCTGGAAAGAGAAGTGATGCAATGCTCTGGGGTGGTGCTGCCCCTTGCAACCTGTTGCACCTTGCAACTCAGCTGATCCTTCGCTAAAATACATCACTACTGCATCGAGGTGGGCAGGGGCATCCTCTTCTGTAAAAGCTTGTCAGTATCTTCTGTGGGAAGAGCCATAAAACCTAGGAATTATGCAGGTGTTTCCAGTCCTGGAACTCGTCAGGTTTTCTCAGCCTTAAATGATTTAAGAAACCAGGACCAGTGACCATATCTAGTTTGTGGCTGTAACTACAGTCTGAATACTTGGGTCATGTAAATCCTGATTCTGGGTATTGGCTGATTTGCAGACTTGGTATTGTGGCTAGAGAGATATATGTGGATCAAATGCCAATTAGCCCACAGGACTAATGTCCCAGCTACTTGCTTAAACATATGGAATGTTTGAAAAAGAACAAATCACCCCAAATATTTCATGTGTCCTTCCCCACCCCCCCGAATTTAGTCATGTTTTGCTGAGCCATGCACAGCTCTTGCTGTAGTTTTTGGTAAGAGCTGACAGAGGTAACGGCAGCTGTAAAAACACTGCAGCAATGAGCTTAGCTTGTTCCAGGCTGATGAGAGGGCAAACTCCTCAAAGACCCATGAGAACACTCTGGTTTCTAAGGTGTACAAAATTCAGTGTTTTCACGTCTTTATTCCTAGTGTTGCCATTGCTAACTCATTTATGATAAAATTTGTTATAATCCCATTATGTTAAATTGATGTGAGGCTTATTGGATGTAGTAAAAACTGTACTGAATAAGCAAGTAGAAAATTTTAGACCCCAAAGATTTATTTCACTGAAAAATACATATTCCCCAGCAATTAAAATATAAAACTAACAATGTGATGTGCTGAAAATATAATGGCAATGAGCAGCACATACATTTTCTAAAGTGCAAGAGTAGGCAGGACATATGAAAGTGTTCAGCAAAGAGTTTGGATAAACGAAACTCATCTTAAAGTCTTTTCAAATTCATAAACATTATGCATATGAGAAGAGTTAGATTAATGTTCAATATCCCCTCATGAATGTTATCAAGAGAGTTTTAATGGACAGCCCTATAGAGAATCAGTATTATTTCCTTATGTTCTGCTTCTATTAATTCTTCAGCCATGAAATTTGAGGGGCTGTTTTATTCTCTTCCTATAGCAAGTAAGTTTTCCTTTTTTTTTTGCCAGAAGAAAGTCCATCACTGATTTTGTAGCCTCCTCTTGTGTCATATTCAAGCCTGTGTTAAGGATCATCTCATGTGTGATTCAGATTGGTTTGTTCTGTGCTAATAAACCTTGAGAATTTGGAGTGCATTTTAGAGGAGCTCAAGATAAGCTTGAAGCTGATGTCTAAACTTGCTTTCCCCAGAAGCATGTCAGCAGTACACACAGAACAGCTCCAAGGCCAGTGTTTGTGTCCTGCCTTACAGCAGAGGCTGAGCTAGGATAGATGGAAATCTGCAGAGGGATCCTAAAACACTCCTTTCTAAATCTTTTAAGGCTAATGTCTCCTTTTCCTTTTGTATCCTGACAATATTGAAATTAATGATCTTCTGATTTAAATTTCACATAGAGTCAAGCTGGGAAGACGTACCTGACTCCAAGTTTCTTCTAAATGCAAAGTTGCTGCAGCTTTTGTTGTGAGCTAATCTTTGTGTGACTCATATGGCAACGCTCAGCAGGCCTGGGCTCCTGAAGATGTTCCTTTGAGGTCAGCAATTGTCTCAAGCAAATATTTGCCACTTCATAAATCTCTGTTTGTATAGGCTGGATTCTATAGCCTCTCTTTTGGGCAGTACAAGATTATACAACAACCATCATGCATCACCAGGGGAGGAACAAATTCTTTTGGAAAAGGAGAGTAGATATTCAGACTGAAACAAAATGCTTTTTGTAGCCAAACTAAGTTTTAGATCAGTCAGATTGTCACTTGAAATAGATAGAAATTTCAGGTCCAACATTTTAATGACTAAAGTAACATGTTGTGGAAGTTGATGTATGCAACCAGTGTACATTTGAAAAGTGAAGGAGAAATTAGAAATATTTCACTGGATGTATGATTCCAGTTCTTGGGGAAGAGTATTTATTTATTTACATTTTTATGCAAGAATATTTAGAATTATGACCATATTTCAAAAGTTGTTGTAATGAAGTGTATCAGATTTGTTCAGAAGTCATTGTTGAGTTAAAATTCCCATTATCCACTTGTATCTCTTAAATATATACATATATATATATATATATCACTAGGCATTTTGGATGTGGAGAATTTGATCTATGATTAATACAAAAGAATATGGAAAAGAACTGGTCATTTTTATTGGATTCTGTCCGGTGTGACAATACTTTTTGGCTCACAAGAGAAAGTAATCATTCAATTTTTATATAACACATAGCCAGATTTAAATTTAAAAATAATCAACATAGCACTTTATTTTGAGTTGGAATTTCGAGCAGATGATGATTGTTAGGGGCTTTTGGAAACTGAATGGGCTGACATAGTATAAAATATGCCACATCTAGCTAGTTCCTGTTGATTATTTTAGAAGTGGACTCCATTCTGTAATGCCTCCTGATTGCTTTTCACTGCTGTGCTGTCTATAAAGAAACCCTGTGGCATCACTGGGCAGCTGAATGTCTCTATGTAGTTTATTTAAAGTGTTCTTCACTTTTCTGGAACAACTTTGTATTGACTTAGACTGATGCTGCCTAAACTTAACCACAGTGGTCAAATTAGGATTGAAAGTGAATGCCATAATAATGGTATGTTCTTACATAAATAACATTTTGTATCATTATCTGTATCTATTTTGAGCATTTAGGACAGCAAGTGGCGATCTGAGTGTTCACAGGGGTAAGGATTGAGCCTCAGCTATAACAAATTCCAGCACTACCAAATTTAATTGAACTACTTCAGGTCATATTAGCTAAAGAATGATTTCTTGCAGCAGTACATGAAAAATAACTTGATTTCCTTCACATAGTTAGAAGCTGAGAATTGCAAGACTTGATGTCTTATAGCAAGGCATGTTTTTTACATCACTACATGCTACGGGCATTTTTAAATTCCATAAGTTGAGGAGAGGATGAAGCTTCAGAGAGCATACCAGATTCTAAATAACGGAGATGAAAAACAGGATAAAGGGAAAGAATGGTGCAAGGAGTTGAAATTTCTTTCATTTTGTCACTGCTTGACTGCAGTTTAGGGATAACCATTGCTCTGGACAGCTCCTATCCCATCTCATTATTGTCCCTATCAAACAACACCAACTCCTTGCTATTTTCTGTTTAAGGGAGTGGAACAGAATGGCAAAAGCTTTTCCCAATTGATATCTGCTGCTGTGTTCATAGGGCATTTTCTTTAAAGCCACAGGATGCCACAGTTAAGCTGTGAAAGTGGTGCTATTTACACTGAGCCTAGTCAGCCCTCACAGCCTGATTATGGTGCCAGCTAGGATCAGATTTAGATTCAGCATTCAAGAGACAAAGAAAGCACTGGGGTAGAGACAGGAGAGATGCTATAGGATGATGGTAATGGGAAAAGTAAAATATTTTAGCCTGTTACCCTCAGTCTCCCTGGCTGTCCAGTCACAGTGTGCCTTTCCAGGAGAGGTGGCAAGTGAGAGATAAATGTATGTGGTTTTAAGCAAACTTCATAACTTTCAGCTGAACATTATTTATAGATATTAATTAGTTCTCTTTGTTATGTTGTTATGGACCTGTGTCCATGACATGTTTTTCATTAGATTGATTAATAGCAAATTTTAAAATTATTTAAAAACTAACTGCTCTGCAAGAATCTGTAGAGAGCAGAAGGGTGAGAGTAATGCACTGCTTTTGTGCTAGACAAAAACTGCACATTAACTGTGGCCATTTTTCCAGGGGACTTCTTTTCCTTTGAAAAGTTTTGCTGAGCTTAATATTGCTATTGAGAAAGGTGATACTTTAGACTTTGTATTTCAGCTGTTGACAAAGTGTGTTTAGCTGTAAACTAAACTGAGGAAACTCCCTGTAAACCCTATGTCTCAGACCTTACTCTTGTAAACAGCTCCTCATGGGTCTTACCTCACCAAATTCAGCCCTTTATACATATAAGCGTGTTGATTTTCTTTCTTGCTTTAAATCAATGGGCTAGAAAGATGACTGCCTTCAGGACACTGATGGGTTTCTGCATGGGAGCAGTAAAACATGTAATGGACCAGCGTTCTTTCAAAGTGCCCAACCAGCTGTATTGGGACTTTTATCCTGCTCACAAAGTTTACCTTACAGGCCCAGGTTTCAACAGTCACAGATTTCCCAAAAAGTAGCTGTATTGTTTATTTCCTTTTAGCTGGACCCCTACATTTCTTAAAGAGGTTTTTTAGATTTATCTTGGAATTTCAAATTAATGTTATAAAGGGTTTTTGTTGGGACAGAAAGGGAGCATAATGCAAAAGCCTCTAACCTTTATGGAAGTTTTCAGCTGGCTTCAATGAGCTTTGAGTTGAATTTTCAAGGGATGTTTTAGACAATTAGCTTACTTAATTACATACCACATTTATAAAACTGATAATAATTTTTTCTGTCACACTAAAAACTCCATGGTCTTTAGCATCACAATCCCGAAATTTTTGGTACCCAGTAATGGAGCTGAAATAGTTGCCCCATTTCATTTTACCTTCATTTCCATTTCATTTTACCTTCGTTTTTGTTGTTCTTAAAGACCAAAATTGCATATAAAACCCAATACACCCAAGTGGTGAGACACAGGAGTGGGACTAAGCAGGATCAGCTGCTGATCATGTCTCCACCACCAGTAACTAAACTCACAGAAAACTTTCATGTCTTCACCTGGCTGATTCCTCTGTGTCTTATTTATACTTCATTTTAACTGTTGCAGTCTGATATTCTCCTAAATTGTTTTCCAAAGGAATTCCATAGAGACATGACTTTAACCAGAGCAGGGAAAGAGTTCACAGGTGGGTTCACTGTCCCTTCCTCACTACATCTTCCAACAGAGCTATCATCAGCATTTTGATCACAGGATTGATTACATCAGCATTTTGATTACAAGATTGATTACATCAGCATTTTGATTACAGGATTTTCTGCCTTTCAGGTAAGTATTTATAGCACTTTAAACTTCTGTGGTATTAACAATACTGCATCTATTTAAAATAAGTGCATAATTTAGTATTTTCCTGCTTGGGATTAAAAAGATTTTTCCATGCTGATTGAAAGAATTCTAGAAAAGAGATGAATGCAATAGCAGATTCCAGTGTTGTCTTACCTACTGCTCTAGTGATGCTTACCTACTTGATCCATGAAATCAGGATCTGAGCCAAATTTTGTCAATGTTTTTACAGTGTAGATTTTCACAGTTTGTAAATGGTAGAAATCTGTTGCTCCAAAACTTCTAACTTGTTTTTAGGCTGTCAAAGATCAGAAAGAAACTAAAAACTAAAAAGCCAAAAACTAACTGAGAAGCCAAAACCTGAAATTTTCACCAAACTGGAAAATGTGTGGAGGTTCACTTGTCACAGTGTAGAGCACTGAGTCAGATATTTACAGCAGAAAATACTCCTTTCCTGGTTAGAATTGCAAAGCTTTTAAAGTAAGATTCCTCAACATAATTATGGTGACACCTGTGAATGTCTTCCAATTTTTAGCTGCAAAATCATTTGGTCTCTGGAAATAAACAGTACAAGCTTCACTTTAGGTTTCAGAAATTACTGCCTTCCCAGTAAAGGATTCTTCAACTGGCAGAATAAATTTCTTTTATATTTAGGCTTTCTCTACACACCAATTTTGTTGACACCAGTGGATTCTGTAACAGGACTTAGGTACAGTGGGGAAATATCCTAAACAGTGAGAACAGCTTTTCAGTAATTAAGCTTGCATATAGAGCAGTGAAGAATTTGCATGGGTACAGATGTTATAGAAGATTAAATATAAAGTCCCTGTTACCTGCAGGAATGAAATCCATCTTGTCAGCTAGTTTGAAGATTCATGAGAAGGAATTTCCTGTCGTGGCCAATTTCATCCCTCCTTCCTCCACCCCCATTACGTCTTTGCTGTGCCTCCCTCTCCAGCTCTATCTGAATATATTTTCACTACGGCACATTTAGTTATCAATCAACAGGAATCTCAGCTGCTGTTGTGCTTAGGGGACAAACTGTTCTTTCTTCATACTAACAAGGAATACCTGAAATAGCCAGACACACAGCACTGATTGATGCAGCCACAGTTTATACACCTAGATTCAGACAGTCTGAAACTGCCAGAATTAATGGGTTATTATTAGAAAAATATTTCTGTTAGACTTATAATTTAAAACCATTTAAATGCCTCAGGCATAATCACTGAAGTTAAAGTTTTAGCTAGTAAAGTGCTTGATGGTATGAATTAAACACATCTGCCTGTCTCAGGTGCATTTGCTCTTTGTGTTTTTGCTGTTTAAATTTTTTTTTGTATTTATCTGATATGATATCTGGGATTATCAAGATTGATGCACATCTTTTTATAGATTAAGATATGTCCCCATATTAACAGTTTAATTTGGGGGAACTTGGAAGAAAGATGATGAGACCTCAAAAGTTTAGGATATTTAGTGTTTCTGCATGAAGAGAAAACGACCAAACATTTACACTTGACAGCCCTGAGCTGTGTGGATTTCTCAGCTTGTGGGTGCCACTGCTCAGGGAAAACACCAAGAGGATCCTAAAGGAATCCTACATTTGCTCTAGTGTTGACAAAAACAACAACTGCTGCTTCTCCTGGATTTGCTCCATGACATATACCAGAATTAAGGGCTCCAAAGAACCTGTTGGCAGTGAAGGGAAAGCACCAAGTGAGGTGTGACAGGAGTAAGATACTACACAAACAGGGTCTACTGGGACAAGCAGCTCAGTTTTGCCACACACATGCTGTTTGCCTCTGTCTGCGACTCTTAACCTCATGGTGAGCCTTTCTAGTCTGTACAGGGGAGTTTAGGTTTGTCACTGGCTTTCATCACAAAAATAAAGCATGATTTAAAAGCTACAGCAGCACAAAATGCAGAATATTGAGCTATGGGAAGCCTGCCCAAAGGCTGCATTAGCCTGAGTGCTCAGAAATAGGGCATGGGCTGCCCAGGAGGGGAAATCAGAAAACTTGAGGGACTAAAAGAGGTTTGTGATTCCAACTGAGATTCGAGGCTGTGTGTTGTCAAAGCAACAGTCTGCACTCAGAAAAAGCTGTCAAATGTTCAGAGTTCCAGGAGACCTGAGCAAGGACTGTCCCTTCCATTGTGCTGAGCTGTGGATGGCTGCAGCTTTGCATCTGTGTTAATGCAGTACTCTGAGTTTGTGTTACTGTGCAAAATTGTCAAAGAAAATTATCACTGCATTTAAGGAAGCTTTTAACTGATGGAGTTCTATTAACCAAAAGAACTTTTCTGGGAATACAGAATACTTCGAAATATTTATGAAGGCTGATGGAAATGTTTATTTATCACCTGATGGATATATTATTATCATCCCTATTCTGTTGTAGCCTTGTCAATCAGAACATCTGCATGAATCATGTAAAACTTGGGAACTGATAAACTAAAATGGTGCTTTATGCTGATCAGCAGATTTGTTTCATAAAAAGTTTATGCTTTAAAACCCCCTGGTTCTGTTACTTTAGCAGTCCTCTATTAAAAGAGAATGATTTTCATGGTCCATTATCCTATTCTCTCTGTCTTCAGTTAAAAAAAAAAAGAAAAAAAGAAAAATAGAAAAATAGAAAGGTCTCTGCACTGTTGTATTTTACTTTTGAACTGTGCTATTCATCAGCTTTCAATGAGAGAGAAAGAACTCAGGGTTGATCCAGGGGGGAATCAGAGCCCCCATGCAACCACGAGATCCTGTGGGGCTGCACCCAGGGCTGGCTGTGTGCTGGGGGACACAACGTGAGCCTTCCAAATCAGTGACAAAACCAGATTGTTTTCCAGCTCTGGCAAAGGGCATCTTTTTCTTTCCCTGTTTTTCCTCCTGGTAGCTGAGCTCAGTGTGTCGGTGTGCAGTGCACAACAATCCCCACCCTGGTGGCTGTGCCAGGTCACTGTCCCCTGCTCTGTCAGAGCCCTGAGTCAGCCTGAGAGCAAAGGGGGGTGTTCAGCACATCCCTGCTCTCTTTCTGCAAAAACTGCTTCTGAAAAGATCTTTATAAATCAGGCAGTGGTAGGAAAAACACAGTATTGATTTCATGGGTTATCTGAGGCAAAATCTTGTTTTGAGTTCTCTTGATAATTTAAGGTATCCTTTATAACAAAGACTTTCAGATACCCCTCAGAAAATAGTTTCAGAAGCTTTTTTAAAAAGCTAATTCTGATAAAAGTCTTTTATATTTATCAAGTCTTGGTGAACCTCAATACATGTGCTTTATTTAAAAGAAGCATAACTTTTTTCTCTATTTATTTACATTTCATTTGTTTTGGAAGTAAATTCCTACTATAGTCAGTGACAATATGCAAGTGTTTGTGGTGTGTTTTTTTTTAAATCTGGCTCTGAATAGTTTATATACTTTTTATATAAATTAGAGCTAAATTAATTGCATGTTTACACTAGGAACACTAGGACTGTTTGCACTCTCAAAGCACTAGGAAGTTCATGCAAGGACATATTTCTTATTTTTATTTAACATCCCAAATTTTGTTGACTCAGAGTCTTAAGGTTAATCGGCATATTTATAAATATAACCACATCAATCTATATTGTGGCTCTCAGTAAGTGCAGGAGAGGAGTTGTTTGCACAGGAAGTTAAGACAAATTAACGAAAGATATGATTTTAAAGTATATTAGTTAAAGTGCATTAAAGCTTGGTGTGAATGTTCTCATTCAGAAATAAAGTGACTGTAGTTCATTTTACCTTAATGCACTTTAAATTCACACCTTTCAGCTAATTTACCTTAACTTCCTGTGTGGACAAGCCTTAAGATTGTTCCCATTAAATAACTCTGCTGAGCTTTATTTTCTACTTCTTAAATCCAAACATGTAAAATAGTCTTACATTTTAAAGGGACTATATTTTAAAAAGAGAATTTGTTGTGAGTCTTCCAGTCATTAAATTTGCTTGTAAGTGGTAAATGTTAGGATGAACTATATTTTGTAATTTTTATTTTTCACTTCAGGTACTATATTACTGAGAGATAGGGTGTATTTATCAAGCAAAAACCACAAGACACTATGGGCAGCACACAAAACTATGACAAATTATATTCAATGAGTCTGGATTTTTTTTCTTGGGAACCTATTGGAGCAGAATAAAGAGAGTTTGAACTATTTTTCCCCAGGATTTCTGAACTTTTTGCTCTGGAGACAAGATGCTGCACATGAGCAGATCAAGCCACTTGCACATACAGAGTGACTTTGGTGCTGTGAGGATGTGAAACTTGGAGTGAGATCTGCACACAGAGCTCTGCCCATGACCACTGCTCCCTGACATGGCAGTGCACAGATATTTTCTGTTTAAAAAAGATACTTCCTTTCTGTGTTCTTTAGCAGTAATTTTGGTAGAGGTATTCCACCTTAAACAGATATTTGATGATTATTTACTGCACTATCTTTGTGTACTTTAGAGTGCTTATAGAAACTACTCATCATATTACTCAGAATAGATTTTTCATTAGTTTTGGTTTAGCTTTGTATCCTTTTGTTCTCATGTTTTTTATCAGATAATAAACTGCTTCTGCAGTTCCCTGTAAGTTGTTGTCCCAATCACTGCACAAGGCTGGGTGACGGAAATGGAACCAAAAACAAGGATGTGAATTAGTGGTTGGACCTACAAGGAGAGTTGGTTCCAATCCAGCAGCATACCTGAGCTTCCACTTCATTTACAAGTATTTAGGTGGTCTCATTTTCAGTGGAATACAGAGACTTTTGAGGTGCTAAAGAAAATCATGTGCTTAATGGTTCCCAGGGTTAGGGCCAGAATGCTGAAGGCATTTTAGGGTTTAACACATTGCATTTGACTCTGCTGATGACATGAACTGTAACTAGGGAGTTTTGACCAGAGTTGGCACGTGGCTGAAAAGAGACTGTGTGGCAGCTGATAGCTAAGTGTGTGTGGAATAAAAACTGTCATTCTGGT